ATGGAGGAGAAGAAGTAGTGGCTGTTCAAGGCTATCTTTAGCTATATAGCTAATTTGAGGCCAGTCTGAGATAGAAAATATATCTCAAAAATTAATCATAACCAACCACACCAATGCTCACAATGATATCACTACATGTAATAAGCCACATGAGGTAAATACAGACAATTCCAGTACTTGAGAGGCTGAAGCAAGAGGACTACCATGAATTTAAGGCCACATAAGACCCCGTCTGGCCAAAAAACTAAAACAAACAAACAATAAAACAAAGCAAATAGGCAAACAAAAACAAAGCTGATGATGTCAGCTTTGCATTCAAAATTTTAACTCTCTAATTGGACTCAGAGATGCTCTGTTCAAAACTTTGGCTCAGTGGTAGGGCATTTGCCTTCCGTGTGTGACATACTGGCTTTAGTTCCCAGCATTGCCAAAGCATGGCCAAAAAAAAAAAAAAAAAAAAGAGTACTGGTCAGTTAACACATTTAAGATCTGAGCATGGTTTGTTGAATTTAGCTGGTTGGAGAAAGGAAACTTTTAAATCCATTTTGGCTAAGACCTGAAATAGTAAAACCACTGTTATATTAAATTCAAGATGAAATGCTACACGCCCTGTAGAGAACACAAATGAGCATTTTAAACCATCTGTACAGTTGTTAGCCATCTTACATTCCAGAGATTCGTTTTAAGGACTCACTAAGGAGCTGCAGTCTTTTTAGCCCACCATGAGAGAATGTGAGGGTGCGTGCGGTGAGGTATTTCCCTTTATCCCAAACACAGTTAGGGGCTCTTTAAAAGAAGCTCTTTGAGGACTGGAGAGGTGGCTCACTGGTTAGGGACACTGGCTGCTCTTCCAGAGGACCCTGAGTCAAGTCCCTGCAGCCTACATGGCAGCTCACAACTGTCTGTAACTCCAAGATCTGACACTCTCACATAGACATGCAGACTGTGGTGTTAACTCTTTGGAGGTAGAAGGAGAGGAAAGGCTGGAGAAGTCTGGACAACAGTAGAGGGTGAACCCTGAACCCAATGTCGTCTGCATTCATGGCACGGTAGAGAGTACCCAGTGATGAGGTGGGATGGAAAGGGGAAGGCTAAGCCTGTGACCAGTTTAAAGTGGATATTTTGTTTTGTTTTATTTTGTTTTGTTTTTAAGCTGGGGGAAAGTTTTAGCCAAAAGGTTGGAGGGTCATATTTAATACAGAAGTGGGCAAGGAACAAGTTCAGAGCAGAAGCACTGTCCAGAAGCACTCAGTTGGGATTCTGTTGTGCCAAAGCCACGACTCTTCAGCAAGGTATTTCAGTTAGGTAGTAGAGCATCAGAGAATGGAGGAGGTATCAACGAAGCCTTCTCCCATCTCTAGCCTAAGCAGTACTGAGGTAAAAGAGATAAGATGACCTAACCCTACCTAGTCCTTCCCTGTTTTAAAAAGTAAATTGGGTTGTGATTAAAAACAACAACAACAAAACTGCTTAAAATCTGGGACTGAATTTCTTTTGGGGAAAAGTTCTTTCCTGATAAAATGTTTAAGCAATTTTCTGATAGACTATAACAGGATGAAAACCTCTTTCATAAAGCTAGCTACTTACTCAGCTGTCTGGCTGGTATCTAATGATTTTGAAACTAGTTTAGTAATAATTTTCTAATCATATCTTCAACTATAAAGTATTCCTTCTACAAGGTAAGCATTGATTGGCTCAATTAGGCCTCTTCACACATGGAGACTGATGAATCTGCTCTTTCAGTGACAACAAAAATACTTCCGGGATAGAAATACTGTTTCAGCAGAGGCGGTAATTTTGGTTGCTTGTGATATCAGTCATATTTCTGAGCATTCAGTCTAGGAAACTCTCAGTGACTTTTTGTGGTGCTCTTTGTTACATCAAATGATATGTGGACATAGAGATGGTATTGTTTATCTTTATTTTGCAGGTTCTAGTGCCTGGTCATCTGGTATCAATGGACAAAATTTTTTTCCTATGTATTATTCTAACATGCTCCTACACTACAAACAAGTTGCTTGTTTTTTTTTCTTTGTTTTTTTTTTTTGTTTTTTTTTTTTTGTTTTTTTTTTTTTTTTACATCTCCCTTCTCAACTCCTCTCCTCCCCTCCCCTTCCCTTCCTTCTATGTAGCCCAGGCTGGCCTCAAATTCAAGATCCTACTAACTGTTGTATTAATTACTTTCCTCATTTCTGCCACCAAACACCTAACAAGAAACAACTTAAGTGTGTGTTGGGGGGGTCACTTCAGCTCCTGGTTTGAAGGAATACTGTGCAACATGGAGGCAAAGACATGGGAAGAAGCAACTGTAGCCAAGAGTGTATGGCGGCTGCTTGTTCACACCTCAGCTGAACCGGAAGCAGATAGACAGAAGCAGGTCTGAACTATAAACCTTAACCCTGCCTCCCCCTCCTCCAGCCTGGCTCCACTTCCTGAGGGTTCCATAAATGCACTAAACAGGTGCCGAGCAGGTGTTTAAACACATGAGGCTATGGCGGCTGCTTCCCATTGAAACCTTTAGTGTCTGAACTGCCGGGATTGCACGGGTGTGCCACCAGGCCTGACCCACAGATTTCTTTTTAAAAATCCTGTCAAGGGAACGATTCGGCTAAATGTTAATGTCAGTGTGTACTAACACAGAGTCTGTTCATTCCCAACTGATTCTAAGGTTGTTGCTCAGGTCATGAAATCCGAACTTTATATATGAACTATGTAGGAAGATGCTGGATACGTTTGTGTAACGAATCAATCATGAACAGGATTGGCAGTAGTCTGTTTAGCTTGGTAGAGCTCTTAAACAAAACCTATAACTCGGTAATATGTATTAAGAACAATATACACAGGGGCTAGAGATTTGTCTCAGTGACTAAGAACACTTGCTGTCCTTCCTGAGGACTTGGGTTTGGTTCCCAGGACCCTTATTGTGACATACAACTCCAGTTCCAAGGAATCCTGTGCTCCCTTCTGGCCTCTGTATACATATTATCCACAGGTATACATGCAAGCAAAACATTCATATACATAAAATAAAAATAATAAATCTTAAAAAAAAAACAATATATTCGGCCAGACATAATGGTGCACGCCTTTAATCCTAGCACTTGGAGGCAGAGGCAGGCAGAGCTCTGTGAATTCAAGGTTATTTTGAGCTATCAAGCAAGTTCCAGAACAGCCAGGATCCTGTCTCCAAAACAAAACAAAATACAGAAAAAAAAAAAAAAAAAAAGAAAAGAACAATATTTTGGACTCAATATAGTGGTATATACATATCCACAATACCACACTAGGCTGAGGCAGGAGGATTGCGATTCTAAGGCCACATGGGCTACACCGTGAGACCTGACTTCTGAACACCCTAAAAAGAAAGAAAGGAAGCTACATGCATATTTCTTTTACAATATTATTTTTTATGATGGTGAAAAATGGGAAGCAGCCTGAAGGCGCAATAACCTGTGCTTTTCAGGTTAATCTTTGGCTTTATATACTTAATATAAAAAAACTATTAAATTATTTATCAGGAAGACTATATGAAAGAGAGCAAAAATTCAATGTATACGTAAAGCATGTATGATTTAAATTCATGTTATAATTGAATTCATGCTGTAAGGATTTAAGTACATATATATGCACACACAAACGTATGTTTGTACACACACCTATTATATGCAAGAGAGAATGTATTAAATGTGCTGAGATTATAGATGACTGATTTTTCATTTTCTGTTTTTTCTAATTCTTATTTAAAATTTCTTAATATTAGAAACATTTGCTCACAATTCTAAAGTCTTAGGATCACATTTTCTTAGCAACCATGGTGTATAAAAATTTCCATCTGCTAGTGTTCAGCTGTTAGCAGACAAAGTCCATTTTTTTAGCTAAGTAAATATCAGTTGCTGCTATTTAGCACTTCTAAAGTTAAAATAGAACTACGTAGTAGCTGGCAGAGGTGTTCCTGGGTAGATGTGGAGAGAAGCAAAGGGCTGATTAAGAAAAGGAAAATGTCATTCTTCCCAGCCAGTAATCTTGAAGATACAGAATGGGGGCGATTTCCCTGAATGAGGAGGAGAAAATCTGACAAGCAGCGAAGGCGCCTGAGCACCAGTGGGAAGAGCTGGCAGGAGCTAGAGGCATTCCAGATAATGCAGGTTCCAGAGAGGAGCTCCTATTGTGTTGTGCAGAGATCTCTCGGCAGTGGGCTGCCCTCAGGGTGTAGGGAAGCATGCCACAGCAGGTTAGTGCCAGCTGGAGACCGTAGGATTGGTTCTGAATGTAATGGAGAGAATTTAAAGATATCTGAGAATCAAATCTGTGTTGACTCCATAGTCTTCATGAAGTGACTTGGGAGATGAGAGGAAGAGTTAAACTGTGAAGTCTCTGAAATGTTAAGACCTTCATTAGATAAATTTATCCAGACCAGCACTTCTAGACCATATCATACTTAAGAAATGACTTAACCATACTCTGCCCAAGTTTCAGAGTACTTTTTTTGATACAGGGTCTCATCATATAGCTGTGGCTGGCCTGGATCTCCATGTGTAAACTAGGCTGGCCTCATACCCACAAGAGATCAGCCTGACCCTGCCTCTCCAATGTTGGGATTAAAGTACTATACCACCGTGCCTGGCCCTGATTTTTTTTTTTTTTTTTTTTTTTTTTTGTGCATGTGTTCCCAGGGAGAATTGGCACACAAAATTTAATCAAGTTGTAGTAAATTCTTTAACGTGAACAGATGCAAAGAAATGTGTAAAGGTGTTGAGACTAACAACTGAATTGAGAAATCCAAATTCTCACATGTGGGAGTGTTTGAGCCAGGAATCCCAGCACTGAGGGAGGCAGAGGCACACAGATCTCTATGAGTTCAAAGGCAGCCTGGTCTACAAAAAGAGTCCAGGACAGCCAAGGCTATACACAGAGAAACCCTGTCCTAGAAAAAAAAAAAAAACAGTCCTTGACATTTAGAAGGCAGATTATCAAAAGCTCTATCCTGATTATTCGGAGTGATGGGTTGCTATAAGGTAAGACTTTAAGTGGCTCACCAGGAGACATAATTCTCTAAACATAAACTATCTCAATTGTCCTAGGAAACTAAAATGTCACTGAACGATAATCAAGACCATAAAGACAAAACTGTGGAAGAACAGAATGGCAGACAAGGTGACAACAAGTCCTTGTTCCCTTTACAGCTTCTCACCCTCCCCAGTGTCGCTTCTCCTTCGAATAGGGATGGAGGCACAAACCTTCCTGATTCCGCAGCCGATGAAAAGGTCAAGCCCACCATGGTTTAGCTCGCCATCGCCATAGATTTGGCAGTTGCCAGAACACTTCATAATTCATTCGCTGCCTTCATTTCTATGGCTGTAAAGAAACATCTTGACCAAAGCAAGCTGGGGAGGAAAGGGTTGATTTGGTTTACACTTCCATAGCACTGTTCAGGTGGGCAGGTACCTGGAGCCAACACAGAGGCTGTGGGAGGGCGCTGCCCACTAGCTTGCCCTTCATGGCTCCCTCAGTCTGCTTTCTTATAGAACCCAGGAGCCCCCGCCCAGGACAGTACCATCAGAGTTGGCTGGGTCCTTCCCCATCAATCACTAATTAAGAAAATGCCCTGCAGCTGCATCCTATGGAGGCATTTTCTCATTGCTAAGCAGGTCCCTCATGTCCAGCGCCAATCTCAGGCCTAAGTGAGAAGTTGGAAAAGGGGATATTGTTTCAAGGGCACAAAATCTGCTCACATGAAGTGAAGATCACCACATTTACAGAATGGTGAGTACAGTTAAAAGCTGATGTATATTTAGTCAGGCTTGGTGGTGTATACTTGTAATTACAGTGCTCAGGGAGCCAGAGGTAGGAAGATCTTTGTGAGTTCAAGGCCAGTCTGGTCTATAGGACAGTCAAGGCTACACAGAGAAACTCTGTCTCAAAAAAACATATATATATATTTCATCTCACATCTGATTTCATTTAAGATCTCAACAACATATATTATATAATAAATATATTGTCGATATATACTATATTATATACAATTATTATACAACATACTATATTATATTGTGCAATATATAATATACATTATAATTATATGTAACTATAATTACATTTATGTAATTATATATATGAATGTAATTATATTATAAATATACATATCATATAACATACCTAATATATAATTTGTTGAGATCTTAAATGAAGTCAGATGTGAGATGAGTGTTAATTAGCCTGAATTAATCTGTGTATCTATGTAAAAACACCTAAAACTTAAAATGGACACACTAAACCTGTTAGAAGAAAAAGTGGGGAAAACCCTAGAACTCACTGGCACAGGAGACAACTTCCTGAACAGAACACCAACAGCACAGGCTCTAAGATCAACAATCAATAAATGGGACCTCATGAAATTGAAAAGCTTCTGTAAAGCAAAGGACACTGTCATCAGAACAAAACAATAGCCTACAGACTGGGAAGGGATCTTCACCAACCCTAATATTCAGAATGTATAAAGAACTTAAGAAGTTAAACAGCAACAAATCAAGTAACCCAATTAAAAAATGGGGTACAGAGCTAAACAGAGATCTCAATAGAGGAACACTGAATGGCAGAGGAAAACTTAAAGAAATGCTCAACATCTTTAGTCATGAGGGGAATGCAAAGCAAAATGGTAGGAACTAGAAAAGATCATCCTGAATGAGGTATTACAGAAACAGAAAGACACACATAGTATAAACTCACTTATAAGTGGCTATTACACATATAATATAGGATAAACATACTAAAATCTGTACACCTAAAGAAGCTAAGCCAGACGGAGGACCCTGGGTAAGATGCTCAATCTTCATTCAGAAAGGCAAATGAGACGGACATCAGAAGAGGGGAAAAAACAGGGAACAGGACAGGAGCCTACCACAGAGGGCCTCTGAAAGACTCTACCCAGCAGGGTGTCAAAACATATGCTGAGATGCATAGGCAAACTTTGGGCAGACTGCAGGGAATCTTATGAAAGAATGGGGAGATAGAAAGCCCTGGAGGGGACAGGAGCTCCACAAGGAGAGCAACAGAACCAAAAAATCTGGGCCCAGGGGTCTTTTCTGAGACTGATACTCCAGTCAAGGACCATGCATGGAGATAACTTAGAACCCTGCATAGAAGTAGCCAAAGGCAGCTCGGTGTCCAAGAGGGTTCCCTAATAATTGGACCAGGGACCATCTCTGACATGAACTCAGTGGCTGGCTCTTCGATCACCTCCACTTGAGGGCGGAGCAGCCTTACCAGTCCACAGAGAAAGCCAAAGAAGCCAGTCCTGATGAGAACTGATAGATTAGGTCAGATGGAAGGGGAGAAGGACTTCCCCTATCAGTGGACTGGGAGAGGGGCCTAAGAGAAGAGGAGATGGGGGAGGGGGCCACAGCTGGGCTACAAAGTGAATAAACTGTAATTAATAAATAAAAAAATAAAATAATCCTTCGACATTTTATCCTCGTGTATATAATGAGTTTGGGTAATTTTCATCCCCTACTGCCCTCTCTCACCCTTTCCCACTCTGGCTCTACCTCTTCCTCCTCCCAGAAAGTTCCCTTATTTTCATCCTTAAAAAAAAATACATAGTTTTTCTTGTGTCAAATAAACGTTAGTGGGTAGATGAAAACATTGGTTGGTTTCATGCCCTCAGGCGCCCGGCCTTGGCAGCGCAGTGGCCTGCTTCGGTTTTCTGCGCCTGCCGACGCGTGACCCTGCGCGCTGGTGTCGCGGCGCCCTGGGCGCCGGTGCCAGCACCCAGGAGCCTCCGTCCCCGCGCGCCGCCGCAGCGTCCTCGCCGCGCACCCCGCCGCGGATGCTCGCGAGAAGGCTGGTCGCCATGGCGGGGCCGCTCAAGTCCGTGGACTACGAGGTGTTCGGCAGAGTGCAGGGTACGGCCTGACCCCGGGAGGCCAGCACGGGGCGGAGGGAGGAGGGGAGGACGCCAGCGCCATCCATCTTATGGATGCCTCTTCCTTCGGAGCCAGGGACTTCCGCTCAACCATGACACAGCAGTCCCGCGTGGGGAGGAGGAGGGGATGCGCGTGCGGGGCTGGCGCGGGCGGAGGGAGGGAGTCACCCAGGGTACCCAAAGGGCGGCTGCCGGCTTACTGGAAACCGGTGAAGTGGGTCGGAAAAAACGGGTTATTGGTCACAGAAGGTTATAAGGGCTTGGGTTTAGCAAGGATGATTTACTTCGTCAGAGGTTGTAATCCCTCTCCAGCTAACTAGCACTGTTTCCTTCCTGGGTTTTGGAGACTGAACCTTACATATTTATACATGTTTTTGCATTTGTACACTATTATCACCGAATGATACCCCGAGGCAATTTAAATGAAGTTTTCAAATTTTCGTTTGCTTATGAACTAAAATAGCTGCACAGAACATAATGTTCGACTTATTGTAATCAATATCTTTGTATCTGTAAATTAAAACATTATTTGAAAGTTTTCTAATGGGGCTTGACATTTCTAATGGCGCATGCCTTTGGCAGGCAAACCAGGGGAATCTTTGAGTGCGAGGCCAGCCTGGTCCACACACTTGAGAAAATTATCAAATGGAGTATGAATACTCTAACTATTCAATATATATCAGTAGTTTAAAAGAAGAAAACTTTGAGACTAGGAGTGTAGCTCAGTTAGAACAGTGCTTGCCTAATATTCACCAAGCCCTGGATTGGATCCTCTGGTCCACAGACACACCCAGGGTGTGGTGGCAGAGTCTCATAATCCAGCCAGCACTTGTGAGGGGGCTACATATCCGAGTTGAGACCGCTTAGAGACAAGAGGCCTTGCTCTTCAAAATTAAAACAGTGCTTTTCTTTTTTTTTTTTTTTTACAAGGGTGTAACTTCCTGTTTCATTTCCATTCTACTTCTTCCACATAACTTTTTAATAAAAAATATTTTAATATAATTTTTTATTTATTACAATTTATTCACTTTGTATCCCAGCTGTAGCCCCACCCTCATTCCCTCCCAATTCTGCCCTCCCTCCCTCATCTCTTCCCTTGCTCATTCCTGAGTCCACTGATAGCAGAGGACCTCTTTCCCTTCCATCTGGCCCTAGCTTATCAGGTCTCATCAGGACTGTCTTTCATAGTCTTCCTCTGTAGCCTGGTGAGGCTGCTCCTCCCTCAGGGGTTGGTGATCAAAGAGCCAGCAACTGAGTTCATGTCACACAGCCCCTGCTCCCCTTATTAGGGAGCCCATTTGGAGACTGAGCTGCCATGGGCTACGTCTGTGCAAGAGGTCTAGGTTATCTCTGTGAATGGTCCTTGGTTGGAGTATCAAAGACCGCTAGGCCCAGATTTTTGGTTCTGTTGCTCTCCTTGTGGAGCTCCAGACCCTTCCAGGTCTTTCCAACGTCTCCTTCTTTCATAAGATTCCCTGCATTCTGCCCAAAGTTTGGCTATGAGTCTCAGCATCTGCTTTAATACCCTGCTGGGTAGAGTCTTTCAGAGGCCCTCTGTGGTAGGCTCCTGTCTTGTTCCTTATTTTCACCTTCTTCCGATGTCCATCCCATTTGCCTTTCTGAATGAAGATTGAACATCTTACCCAGGGTCCTCCTTCTTGCTTAGCTTCTTTAGGTGTACAGATTTTAGTATGTTTATCCTATATTATGTCTAGTATCTACTTATAAGTGAATATATACTATATGTGTCTTTCTCCTTCTGGGATAGCTCACTCAGGATGATGATTTCTAAATCCCACCATTTGCCTGCAAATTTCATGATTTCCTTGTTTTTAATTGCTGAGTCATATTCCATTGTGTAAATGTACCACAATTTCTGTATCCATTCTTCAGTTGAGGAGTATCTAGGTTGTTTTCAGATTCTGGCTATTACTAATAAAGCTGCTACAAACATGGTTGAGCAAATGTCCTTGTTGTATACTTGAGCATCTTTTGGATATATGCCTAGGAGTGGTATAGCTGAATTTTGAGGTACACTACTCCTAATTGTCTGAGAAAGCACCAGATTGATTTCCAAAGTGGTTGTACAAGTTTACATTCCCACCAGCAATAGAGGAGGGTTCCCCTTTCTCCACATCCTCTCCAGCATGTGTTGTCACTTGGGTTCTTGATCTTAGCCATTCTGATGGGTGTAAGGTGAAATCTCAGGGTCGTTTTGATTTGCATTTCTCTTCCACATAATTTTATCCCATTGTTAGGTATGCATGAGAGTTTCTTACTGCTCACTCCATATCCCACCCAGATGTGTATGTGTGTTTGTATGTGTGTGTACATATAAATGGAATATGGGATACTTTTCTTAACTACCTTTAGGAATAAGTTTTAATGGTAACCATTAGTAGATTTAAAAGGTGAGTTTCTATTGGAAATTTATTTCTAAGCAGGAAAGCTGGGATTTTTTTTTTAATGGAATCTTGTTTAAAGCAGGGGAATATTATCCTTTTATTTTTATATTCTGTAAATATTTTACACTTTGGGGCAGTGTATCCAGGATAAGGTAAAAAAATGGATGAAAGTGTTTGTTTTTATAAGGAGCCTTTGTTTCAGAGTTCCCTGTGAAAAGAGAGGTAGGAAAGGAAAATCATAGTAGACCAGTCTGAGGTCAGGGGTAGGAAAGATGGCACCAGGGAGAAAAAAAAAAAAAAAGATTGCACAAGGAAACCATAAATTTGAAAAGTGACTCTTGAGTTTGTACCTTTAGAAAGGACACCAGCCGTCATGGCAGTAGTGTCCATCTGATCCTGCCTAATCTTAGAAGCTAAATGTTGTTGGGCCTTGTTAGTACTTTTGATACCCTGGTAACTTGACTACATCTGGAATTAACTAAAACCTAAAAATGGAGGGCAATCTAATCTGCTCTTTGAGGTGATAAAACATACCTTTAATCCACATCTTTTGAGGTAGGAAGCCCCGCCTCTAAGGGCTATGCCATCTGCTGGAAGGCATGGAATAAGGAAGTTTGCTGTCTTTGCCTGCTTCCTTTCTACCTGCTGGTATCAAGTCCATTCCTTCATTGGCTTTAGAGCCTACTTCTTTGGGATTCTGGTGTAAACTGAAGACCAGCTGAGACATCTAGCCTGGTGGAATGAGTGACTACTGAATTCTTGGACCTTCCATCCATAGGTAGCTGAGAGGAGCAGGCCTGACATCCCCCAACCCCCCCCCAAAAAAAGTCATCAGTTCTAAGAACTGGTCCATGGGTCACCAATACCAGGAGCAAGACAATAAAATTCCTACCCAAGGAATAGCCTGAAGGTCACCACAAGAATGGGAGGATATCTTATCTCAGGGTGGGCCATCTGTGCTGGGCAGCCCACCAACCTTGTAGTAGAACATTCATGGCACAGAAAATACCTAGCATTCCTGAGGTCTGTAGTTAGCTCACGCAATATTAGTTGTGTTAGTTAGCCAATCACTTTGTAACAGGCTTGCCCTTGCTGAATGGCACCCAATCTTGTAACTGCTAAGCTGGAAATTCCCGGTCCTCGCTCAAAACCCAACAAAAATCCTCCCCTTCCTGAGCTACACTGGAGAACTGCTGCATCAGTGAGCTCAAGCTGGAGCCTTGTAATAAAGACCCTACTGTGTCTGCATTGGAATCGGCTCCTTGGAGGTCTTTGGGGTCCCAGAGACTTGGGCATAACACGGCCATTGCTGGACTAACTAACCCTAACCCTATCCAGAGCCTGTAAGTCATTCTAATAAACCCCCTTTCTATATATAGAGCTTCATTCTTTAAGTTATGTTACTCTAGAGAACCCTGACTGATACTGATTTTGGTACCAGAACTGGTTGTATGGTAATAGGAGTATAAGGATGAATTTTTTTGTAATATTTTTAATTTATTTTTATTGATTAGTTCATTCACTTTGTATCCCACTTGTATCCTCCTCCCTCTTCCCCTCTCTATCTCACCCTCCCTCCCTCTTTTCCACCCATGCCCCTCTCCCAGTCCACTGATAGGGGAGGTCCTCCTCCCCTTCCATCTGACCATAGTCTATCAGGTCTCATCAGGAGTGGCTGCATTGTCTTCCTCTGTATCCTGGTAAGGCTGCATCCCCCGAGGGGGAGGTGATCAAAGAGTAGGCCATTGAGTTCATGTCAGAGACAGCCCCTGCTCCCCTTATTAGAGAGCCCATTTGGAGACTGAGCTGCCACGGGCTACAGCTGTGAATGGGTTCTAGGTTATCTCCATGAATGGTCCTTAGTTGGAGTATCAGTCTCAGAAAACACCCCTGTGTCCAGATTTTTTGGTTCTGTTGCTCTCCTTGTGGAGCTCCTGAAGGATGAATCTTTTAAGTATCTGGAATAAGCTTTCCAATTTGCCAACACCTTTAGTTAAGTGAAGTGTCTCCTGGAAGTTTGGAGAGTACTGAAAGTTCATGATGTGAACTATTTTACAAACTTAAGAAGATAAATCTTTTGATTATTCTCATTCACTAATTGTGACCTGCAGAGGATCTGGTGATTCTGTATATAAAGCTTTAGACAATTTGTGGGAAAATGAGGAAAATGAGGATGTTTTGCTGCTCCTAGATCTCTGCATATATTGACAAGAGAAAGGAATGAGCTCTGTGATAAACTTAGCCAGCTGCTAGCATCTCAGAATACAGTGAAGGACAACAGTGAACTTCATGATAAAAGTGGCTGGCTCCAGATGTATGTAAACAGTCTAAAGGCTTCTAAGTATGTCCTAGAAGAGGGTCTTCTCTCCATCAGACACAGAGATCAAGTTTCAGAAAGTCAAACTGAGGTCCTTATTATAAGGTTGGCTGAATTACAGGGAAAATTCAGGTCTGGGCCTTGGAGGAGTATTAGTGGTTAAGTAAGGTAAGGAATGGGATCCTGTAGCTTGGGGTGGCGTGTGTGGGAGGACCCTGTAGCAGCTGAGAACTTTGAACCCTCTGACTTTCAAGGGTT